ATTTTGGGGTCGGGACAGGAAGCGGGCAAAGGGAGTGCTTCTGTTGGTTCGGTCCTTGGGGCAAGACCGACTCAGAATGCTTGAAAGAAGCTAGAGCCGGTTGCTCTCAAATTGGAGGTGGATACCTCAACTGTGGTGGGGGCGAATGGGATGGTCTCGTTGAACCTGGACAAGGCTAGAGGAAACATACAAAAGCTTGAAAGAGCTCTGGTGGGTTGTCTCCTTGGGCGGAGAGTACCCTTCTGGGTGGTACAAAGTGAACTCCAAAGGAAGTGGGGTCAGTTGGGCCTCACCCGCATTACGCCGATGGGAGCAGACTGTTTCTTGTGCTGGTTTGAGGATGCCAGTGCACGGGACAAGGTTATGATTGGGGGCCCTTGGTTTGTGGCAGGCCAAATTATTGGAGTGGAGCAATGGGCTGTTGGATCAATGTCGAATTCGCCAAGGAAGTTCACCTCTCCGGTTTGGATACGGCTTCCCAATGTACCGTTGGCCTACTGGGACGCCGAAAATCTGGACCGGCTTGCAACTGGCATAGGGGAACCACTTTTATGGATGAACCGACCAATTCATGGAATAGATGCGCCTTCGCTCGTATTTGCGTCCGGTTGGATTTATCGAAGAAATTACCTAAGGGTGTGTGGGCTAATGGGCTGGGAGGTTCTTTTTTCCAACCTATTGAGTATGAGGGTATTCCTCTGATTTGTTTAAACTGTGGGAAGGTCGGCCACAAGGCGGAGGTTTGTAAGGAACCCAGAAGTATGATTAAGGTACATCCTCCACCACCTGCTATGACGAAGTCGGTTCCACCTGGGCCTATGAAGGAAATGGAGGTGGACCGTGTCGAGGTTGAACACATGAGTTTGAAGATAGCTTCGGCTGATGGATCGCCTGGGTTGGTGAACGAAGAGCAAGGTGAGTGGACTATTGTTAGTAGAAAAAGGAGGCCAAAACCAGTTAGGGATGGTGTGAACTTGACGGAATAGAGGATTGCTTAGCCCGAAACAGCAAGGAGAACATCCAACAATCTGGCATGGAAAGCTGTTAGCAAGGGGGATGTCCATGTGGGGTCGGATGGGGGGACCAAATCTGGTAGTGCGAATACGACCAAGAACTTAAGGAATGCTGGAAGTATGGATCAGGGTCCAAGTATCAATGAAATGGAATCATTACTGGATGGAGGGACTAGCGGTTCATCTGACCATATGACTGACTCGCTTATGATCGAAAAGTTTTGTGAGGAACCTGCTACAGGTCTCGGGACTCATGGGGTGCCTCTACAGGCTGCGACGGAGTTCCCGGAAGCGTGCCTTCTGGACGGTATGATGACGGACGGTGTGGGAAATATCCCCCAAATGGCTTCCCTTCCAGATGGAACAGTGGATAGTGGGGAATCGAGGGTGGTGGAGAGTTGCCCAATGCTTGGATCCACAAAATTGCACGGTACAAGGCGGAGGAAACGTGGTGAGGCTATGGCTTCCCCTGCTCAGAAATTGACCCCAAGGGTGTTGCGGTTTTTTGGAACGAAGTCTGATGTCCATAAGGTGAAAAATGTCAAGACTAGAGGTGCTAAAGACAGACGTATGAAAGAATTGAGGTGCATTGGTCCCCTTCAGAAGCTGCCTGGTGTTCGTAGGAGCAGGGTTTTATGGGAGGGGCCTACTCCAGTACAACCTGAGCTTAATATAACTATCAAGGATTGCTCTTTGGGTGGTAGGATGGATGAGGAATTCTCGGATCAATGGAAGGAAGTCTTCTCGGATGTTTTTTGCGGCGGGGACGCTTCCCCTCTGGTGGATAATGTTTAGCATCCTTTGTTGGAATTGCAGAGGTGCTCGTAAGAAGGAGACCGGGAACTTCTTACGACACCTCATTAGGGAGCATAACATCAGCATCATAGGGCTAGTTGAAACCAAAATGGAAACTTTTTCTCGTACGGATGTGGACAAGCTTGCGGGGAGGAATTGGGAGTTCTATTTTCAGCCTTCAGTTGGACGAGCTGGGGGCATTCTTCTTCTTTGGCTTGGATCGGTTGGTACATTTACTGTCACCTTTCAAACCATCCAATGTATTATGGGGAGCTTTAGGTGGACGCGCTCTCCGTCGTGGGAGCTTGCGGTGGTTTACGGGGACAAGGACAGGTATAATAGACAATGGATCTGGGAGGACATTTCACAGCACCATGCTGCCAATGCCCCTTTGGTTGTGGGATGGGACTTCAACTGCATTATGGCACAATGTGAGAAGAAGGGGGGGAGACCCTTTGTTTTCAACCTTGCGGCTGGTGACATGGGTGAATTCATGAATGCGAACGGATTGGTAGACCCTGGGTTCTCGGGGCCTGCCTTCACTTGGACTAACAATAAGGATGCCGGAAGTCGGACTTACTCATGGTTGGATCGATTTCTGATCAGCTCATCCATTCTGGATGAATTTTAGGGTTTGAAGGTTAAGCACTTATCTAGGCTTACTTCTGACCATTGTTTCATCCTCTGTTCGGTTCAGATGGGTGAGAGGAGGGCCTACTCTGCTTGGATCCGGTTTGAGGTTGTTTGGGCCAGCTATCCAAGGGCGTGGCAATTGGTTATGGAGAAATGGAAGGTACATGATACTGGCTCGGAAGCTAAGATTCTACAGCGAAAGTTCCAGAGGACTTTGAAGGCGTTGTTCTTTTGGAGTAAAAACAAAATTAAATTGCTAAACCAGTTAAAGGATGAGCTTGACCGTGAGATTATCATTTTGCAGGAAATTGATTGCTCTCCTTCCGGCCTCTCTGAGGCACAGTCCGAATCCCTCAGATATAAAGTCCAACTGTTGAAGGCTACTCTGACCAGGATTATGACCTGGTGGGGGCAACGTGCGAAGGTTCGGTGGATTGAGGAGGGTGATGGGAACACTCGTTTCTTTCACAACATGGCGTCGGCGAGAAGGAGGAAAAATCTTATTGATCAGCTCAAGCACCCGGATGGGAGGTTGGTTACTGATCAGTCTGAGATACTGAGAATGATGGAGGTTTTCTTCCAGCAAAAATGGATGGACAATGATATCATTGACTGCGGGTGGCCCTCCCTTGATCTGCACTTTGCTTGCGTGCAGCGGCTGGGCATGCCTCTAGACAGCGAGATCACCCGTGAGGAAATTTGGCTTGCGGTGAAGTCAAAGGGCAAGAATCGTGCCCCCGGACGTGATGGCGTGACGACATCCTTCTTTAAATCCTTCTGGGACATTGTCGGTGAGCAGGTCATCTTGGCGTGCATGGAATTTTTCACCTCGGGATGGATGGAACCTGAATGGAAGGATACGGTGGTTGTTTTATTGCATAAGGGAAATAATGCGGACCATCCCTCTAAATTTAGACCGATCAGTCTCTGCCAAACAATTTATAAGGTCATTACTGAGATCCTTGTCAACCGCATTAAAGGCATATTGCCGTCCATTGTTTCGGAAGAACAAGCGGCCTTTGTGCCGGGGAGATCAATTTCTGATCACCGTATTTTGGGGCAAGAGATTATGCACATGTTTAAGGTCTCCAAGTCTGCTAAAGGATGGCTGGCATTGAAAGTCGATATGGAGCAAGCCTATGACAAAATGAACTAGAGAACGCTGGAGGTTGTGCTGATGAAGATGGGTTTCCCTCAAAGATTTCGATCGTGGGTGATGAGCTGCATTACTACTCCAAGGTTTGCTATTCTGGTGAATGGAACACTTAAGGAAGGGATAACAGCTGGTTGTGGGTTTCGGCAGGGGTGCCCGCTCTCACCATATTTATTCATTCTTTGCTCGGAGCTGCTTTCTCTCCATTTTTGCCAAAACTACCCGGAGTTAGGCGTCCAAATCAGGGTGGGAGGACCGGCTGTCTCCCACCTCCTTTATGCTGACGACGTTTTATGTTTTGCAGGTGCTACCATCCCTAATGTTCGGAAGCTCTTGAAGATCTTGGATGATTACTGCGGCTGGACAGGGCAGAGAATTAACAAAAATAAATCTGCCATTCTTTTTAGCAAAAAGGTCACGACTTCCACTAGAAGCCGGCTAGCTAGGATTGCCGGGTGTCGTAAGGTGACGGAAATGGAATACCTTGATATAAAGTTTGCTTTGAGAAGACTATCCAAGGCGGACTTCAGCCCTCACCTTCAGAAAATTCAATCGCACATTTTTAGCTTGGGGGACTTGTCAGTTATCGCTGGCGGGTAGGATTACAATCTGTGTTGATTCTGCTATTGATGTTTGTAATGACGCACATGATGATTCCTCGGGTGTTCTTGCTGATGCAGAAAGGCCGTGTCGGAGCTTCCTCTGGGACAAGGATCAGAATTGCAAAAGTGTACATTATGCGGCGTGGGGCAGCCTCACCCGACCGAGATGCCTGGGTGGTCTCAGCTTTCATGCCAGCAGCAGCTGGATGGGGCCACTCCGTGCAAGAATTGCGTGGGATTTCATTAACAAGCACCAAAATCTTTTCCAAAGGTGTATGAGGCACAAGTATGGGGCTTGGCCATGGAGGGTGGAGCAGAGAAGAGGAGAATCGAATGGGTGGAAAATTATTTGCAATGGGGCCGAAAGTTTGGTTGGTTCTCTCAGGTGGAAGGTCTGCAACGGAGAGGATATTGACATGATCAATCATGTGTGGATCCAAGACTATGCCATTTGCTCGTGGCCGACCTTCTGCAATATCGAGCTTGCTGAGGGTAGCCGAGTGGAAGAGTTCATTATGACGGATGGAGAATGGGACCGGGACAGGCTGCGGCTTTTTTTTGGGGAGAGCCTCGCTGAACTGATTTGTGAGGTGAAAATTTGGTCGGAGCTTCATGCCGACACTCTTGAATTAACTAAGAGCACGTTGGGTACTTCTTTATCGGCCATCTGCTACAATGCGGAGTTTACAGGGGAGGAGGACCAGGTCTGTATCATTCTTGATATGCATTTGCGACCCCGTGAGAGAGTCTTATGGTGGAGGATCTTCAAGGACATTATCCCTACTCTCACTTGGCTCAACCGCCGGGGCCTTGGGGCTGGGCTCAGCTGTCCGTTGGGTTGTAATCAGCACGAGAATCTCTTCCATGTTACAACGCAATGTCTGTAATTACATGGGATTCTGGATCGGCTGGACGAGTGGGGCTTTATTACGCCCAGATTCACGTGTTTTATGGATTTGAAGGATGCTTTGCCTAGGGGACTTGCGTCCAAAGCCTATTGGACAAAGATCTATTGATCGGTGGTCTTCTATAGCTGCGGAAATAGGAACGCTACTCACCATGGCAAGAAGGTGAACTCCATCACTGGGCTGGCTGCTATGGTTCTCGGTTCCACTAGCCATGGTGTTTTTTCGAATAGTTTGGAGCAACGGTTCACCCTTCAATCCCTTGGATTGTTTCAGAACGCATCTTGGTGTCCCCCCCCTTCAGGCTGGTTAAAAATCAACGTGGATGGTGCGTAGCGGAGGAACAATGCAGGTGGCATCGGAATTATTATTAGGGACTTTCAATGCAATCTGGTTATAGCGGCGGGTTAGAAAATCTTGCATTGGGATAGAAAGTAGGTTGAGCAAATGGCAATTCAATATATAAGTCGGATCACTCAAGACTGGATGTTTGATCTTGATGGGATCATTATCGAGGGTGATAATGCGAGCGTGATTGATTTCATGCATAAATGCCATCTTACCGAGACATGGAAGCTGAGGCAGGAAGAGGGGGAAAGATTTAACTGGCTTAAATCTTTC